CTAGCTTTTATAGCTTTAACTAGGATAGGAGGGCGCCGAATCCGAGATGGCCGAGACTCAACAGGTGCTGACTGTAGTTCAATTAGATTGAACCCTAGCCAGCGATGAGGGCGTATCCCCATACTTCGGTTTGGGTGCTGGCATGGTATTCAAATTTCACTTCTTTTTATTTTGTGGTTTTGGTTTCCGTTCCATCTTTACACTTGCCTGATAGCGCTTAGAGACTTTTTTGTATTTTGCGCTCTATAAATTAATAACCATTAACCATTAACATACTACACCTTAGGAAGAGCCTGCACTATTCTTAAAAAATATCCTTCGTTGTTTACCCCTAATAGTATTACAGTAGTATACAAATACTACATTGGGCTGAAGCAGTAAATTCTACTTCCCAGGTTTTTGGATGATTGGGACTACCTCCCGATGGAATACCTCATAAAATTAAACAGTAAAACGTCTGTCCACATTAACCATTTCGAGCTGTGAGGGTGAAATTGCACAGTTTGCATAGTTCACGTAGTCAGGCATGCGATAATCAATTTTAGGTAGCACAAATATGCACATGCACGGGAGTAGTTGAAACTTTAATATCAATGAAATTAGTGACAATACATTCCTAACAAATAAGAAGCCCTAAAATATTTTGCAGATAATACTAGCTTAATTATTAATTATTTTAAATTTATTTTATGTTCTTTAATGATAAAAAAAGAAGGGTTCAAATCTGTGGATAATTAAACCATGCTCTCCATCATAATAAGGTCTACTACGGTACGGCTTGTCGGTGTTGCATGCTGTCCACATCCACTAGTACTAAGTACTCGCTCGAGCAATTAAGTTATAAATATTCATGAAGTAATTCCTGAATCGGGAGGAGGCGTTATATTGAATATATAGCGCCACCAATCGTCACCGACTCAAACGTCCAGGGAAAACATCGCAAATAGGCCTATTAGACCAGTAGTACATCATAAATTTAGAGTGTGAACCCATAATCTTCTGAAGTTTTCCCATAGAAACTTTACTCTTGTTTATGTTTTGGACTTGGGTCCCGTGGTGTCTGCCAATGTACTCACACCAGGCATGCTTAACAAGTTTTTGAAATATCTGGTCTGGTTCACACTAGAGTTTCTGATCTTGATCGGAAACTAATAGTTGGCCCAATATCAGCATAGGCTTAAGCCAATCAGGATCGAATGGATTGTGGGCGCTAGTGGTTAGCAAATTGACCTCGTTCTTATAAACAGCCAATCAGATGCTAGCATTTCCCATTCGCAGGAGTGAACTATCGGCTTCTGCAGACTATCATGTAGCCTGGGTTCCAGGCCCTAATTTTGGGTTACTCACTCTTTATTGCACTTAGTCTGCGCCATACATAATTTAATTGGCGTCCCATACTCGATTTACTTTTTTTTTCGGATTATTCCGTCTCTAAATTAACTTTCTCTTGGTGGCGCTGTCCAGAACGAGAAAAATAATAAGAAATAATAGACTTGTGGCAAGTCTAACTATCATGGTATGTATAGACCAAAGTTCAGAGATAACTTAATTATCCAAAACATACTAAAATCTGTCTCATACATCGGAAAATAAGTGGTAAAATCAGAAGGATTTTCTTACTTTCATGGAAATCTATGAAACAACACATTCACAGGACGTATGGACGTTTAGTAGTTTGTTTTCCCGCTGTGTGTAAGTAGACTCGCACTTTCGGTAATATACTGACCCTAAAACGCTTGTTTTTTTGGTGAACAACGATGTCTGCATTTTGAGCTATCTAGATTGATAATTTCATTTCTGAATGGAAAGTTGGTTGGATATATCTATCTAGATAATGCAAACCGTTAGCTGTTGTGTGTGAGCATATCCTCTATTACTTTATTACTTACGTGTGACCTTAACCATTGAAGTTAAGAGTACACGAAATGCCAATTCTGGCTTTAAAATAATGTCCACACAGAGAAAGAGAACAATTAATAATTGGCCAGGTTCTGAAATTTGTCATTTTCGAATGTTGAACAGATTTTTCAGGGCTCCACTTGGGTCAACAATGGGTTTGGGCACATGGCTGTCAGCGTGGGCTGGACTATGTTATTTATTTTAGTGTAAATATTATTTATATAATAGTAAACTTTATTTATAAAGGGTGTGACTAGCACTTTCAAAGAAGCCCTATTAAGCAAGTATAGGCATGAAACAGTGTATTAAATAGATCAGTGCAATTTACATTATATTGTACCGTAGCGCATTCATATTTGGTGTGATTCTTTCTTGCGCAGGATAATTGATTTGTTTATATGAATGTTATTAATACTTTGAGATTTTTACTCTGCTTTAGATCCATATTGCTATAAATACTAGTCATAAAGTAGACGTTTGACATTTGTCTGTGTCCAGGGCTGTGCGTTCTGTGTATTCAGCATATTTTGTGTAAAAATACACGATACTATACTATAAAAATACTATAACATTCCAATGATTCATATTTTTTATATAAAACATTAATGTATAAAATGAATTCAAACATTCTTGTATAGTAATTTAATTGGAAAAAAATGTTGATATTGACGCTAATTGAGCCTTGATAATAATAAACCAAACTAGAGCGGTGATAACCGTAACGCCAACGCCATGTACCAAAAGGGCAAAAGTTATAAATTGCAACTTAAATGTGTTATTACTTGAAAGAAAGCCAGGGCTGTTAGGCCTACGCGAGACAATAGTATCTTGAATAATAGGTTATTTTTAATATTGTCACTTTTGTGTTATGTATTTTTATTTATGAACATTGTAAGACACGCATGCCTGACTCTTGGTCTAAGTAAAAAACTATGGACCAATTTCACACTAAATTCTGTGTTGACCCTACACAATATTAGCATCACTGTCTCTGTTGTTAAAATAAGTTTTGCTGTTTTGTTTTACGGTGCCATTTGTTTTTTATTCGTTTTGATTGACTAGTTTTTTTGATAGGGTCTGTGGCTTAGATAACCTAGAAAATTGCAGATTTGGTATCCATATATAGGCCTACTAATGTACCTGATTATAATTATTGGATTTGTAAACTTGGTTTGATAACATATATAATAATATATTGTTTATAATGTAGGTGGAGAGAGGGGAGGTCTAATTTATCTTCCTCTACTGTAGATACTTGTGTAGTAATTTGCTGGCGTGGAAAACATTGTGAATGAAATTATTTTTAGACTGACACTAACTCGCTAGGCCTAATTTTTTTCTATGAAAGTGCAATAATTTAGTAAATAAAAGAACGTCTAAATCAACATCACCTTTTGTCTTTTGGTTTATTACCAGTAGTGAGTTTTATATGATCTGGGACTGTTTGACGTCATTACGAGGCATATGCGCATGCGTAATTATATTCATAATGTTTGAAATTATCGTCTCGACCCGTTTTGTGACGTCGAAAAGATTCATTTGTATTCATACACTTTTTTCTAGTTCGTGCCATAGACACATTATATAATTATCATTGTATATGGTTCCAGCAGAATACTCGTACGTCCTTTCAGATCTAAAACTCACTACTTTCTACACTCAAAAAAGTTGGATACACCGCGTTCATGGCCGTTGCCCGCTCAAGGAAGGCGCGCATCCGGTTTTCTGCGGTGCGTCTTCCGCGCGTCTTCATGTTACTAGGCATGGTTTTCTTCATATCAACAATCCTGATCCTAGTCTGGGTTGATCCTAGCTGCCAAATTATTGGTGTAATACCTAAAAATGGCGTCAGTTGTTTCTCATCCACAGACAAAAATTGACCGATCGTCCCCACACTACAGTAGGTCTATAGTTATTATAATTAATATTATAATTATTATGTTATAGTTATTAATACTGTATTTATAGTGTGTTTATGCAAATGAAGACAGGAGTGGTATTATTTAACTTTCTGTTGATAGACCCGGGGGGGGGGGAATTTTCTCTTTCAAATTTTTAATTGTAAAATTGATAACTTAAATATACAAATTAGACAGTTCAAATATGAAATTGTTCAATTACTGTATTTATATTGTGTTTATGCAAAAGAAGACAAGAATGGTATTACTTAACTTTCTGTTGATTGACAGGAGGAAACTTTTCTCTTTCAAAGGTTTAAATGTAAAGTTGATAACATAAATATACAAATTAGGCAGTTCAAATATTTTTTTTTTCAATTTCTTTTAGTTCAAAACATCTTTAAGTCATAGTTTCTTCTTGTTTTTTTTTTTTTTTTAAACTCGAATGGTGATTCTAAACGTTTCATAATAAAAATAACGTGATCAAAATAAAGCAAGGATGTCTCTAATTTTAAGGCATTCTTTAATAAGCATTTTCATTAATTTTATTCGTAATACCACTGCAATCTGAAAGGTAAAATACATAAACCTGTTAGGCCTTTTACTCTCTCGTGAGCTAAGATTGCACCATGCAGTACGTACGTACGTACGTCGTACGCGTATTATTTTTTTGCGATGTTGTGGCCATGTAATGACATACGCAGCACATAACTAGTAAATCAGTGAGGAATAAGCTTATGGGTTCTATGATAAATGTGTAGTTACATTATGTTCTTTATGATGTAAAAAGAAGTCAAGTAATGTAAAAAGGTGTTACCTATTTATAATTTCAATTTCTTCTCTTGACGTTTCGCCTACTAGCTGTAAGAAGAAATGTAAATTGTAACACCTTCTTACACAATTTTTTGGATCATATAAAAGATAAATACACATCACATAACGTGATATTTAAACGACATTTATGTTTACATATTCATTATAGCAATAATTGCTATTTCTAATTTTATGGGATTTAATTACAATATAGACGGTTTAGCCTAAGCGTAACCTATAAACACAGCATCATTTCTAAGTGTATCGGAAACAACATAAAACCGTCGCTTACATACAAACAATTGAAATAGGTAGTTATATTCGGCACCACCATCAGGAGGCCGTCCATACATAACTGCTCTTCTATTCAATGCGATGTATTAAGGACATAATAGTTCAAGTTAATCACATATATATAAAAGCACCGCGCCCATTACGTGAAACGTAAAATAAATTTAAGAAATATATGATCATCAACATATCAAAAGACACCTAGGCCTATGTATTATTTACACTATTTTATAAAACAAAATAAATTGAAACGATGAAGCTACAACTGAGTATCAGAGAGTATAAATCCCACTCTTTTGATTTTTGAGCAAGTCTTATAATGATATTATATCCCTCAATCCAGGCCGTTGCCATTCGCGATTAGGCTATTCTGAAGTGAATATGATATTCTGTCACTACATGCCAAAAACAAAAATTGTAGTTTATCACATCTTATGCATATTATTCTTGTCGAAATGAAAATTATTAAATAAAATATTAAAGTTAGAGAGGACATAATTTAGGATTTAACCTACTAAACAGCAAACGCCAACGCCATAAATGATTAACAAGTCAATTGTACATAATCATTAGACCTAATGCAAGTTTCCTATGTACACACATTTACATCTAATGCACTATCTGTTACCCTCTGTGCATTTAATACGGTAATCGTTCTCTATTGTATAGAATACGACTATACTAATTGCCTATTAGCGCGCCATCAATAATGTATAATTGTACTAATATTTTGAATAAATGGCCGTGTTTCAAAGAAAAGAAAATGATAGTTGTGAGAATATTCAGATAGAGAAGAAAATGCTATATAATAATATAAATATTTATATTCAATCCTATAAGGCACTATATAAATAAAACCACATTTTTACTATTTTTATAATGAACACTTTGAAAACCAGCATTGGCGGTGCCGCGGCAGTTTTCTCTGTATTGGTTTTTGTCCTTTTATTATTTATTTTTATATGTACGGTGATTTAATGTCTTAGAAAGGTGGTTTATAAATGCCACGTTATTTATTTCATTATTATTATTATTATTAATTCAATTCAATTCAATTCAATTCAACTATTATTGTCAAACACAGTGAGAACATGGTTTGAAATTCTTCTTGTTTGTTCACAGTTAAAATGTAAGTTAAAACAAGACACAAAAGATAAAATCACAGAGGAAACAGCAAAAATTTAAAAACAATAAGTCTGCTACAATAAAAGTCTGCTATGAACAAACATGTCGCTAGCAGAGCAGCGCTGCCAGTATATATTAATATCGTTATTATTATTATTATTTCTACAATTTTAGGTATACCTTTATCATTATTGTTATTAAATTATTGCATCATGTAATAGTGATGCTGGGTTTGGTAGTTTGTCATACTTGTGTGATAAAACAAATTAACATGGAATACTAAAATAAATTATTTCTTTCAAAATTAGATGCTTAAAATCCATAATATGCTCTAATATAAATATAAGTATTGTATAATCACAGAGGGAAATCGCTATCGGTGACGGTTATAATGGTGGTTGTGTATGTCGTAATCCATAATGCTGTGTACATCGCCCATGCGCATTGAATTTTGAGCTGACCTGCCCGCTAATCGGCTGACGTCAGCATTACCAACTTTGTTGTTATTCTTGTTAAATCTGCTGTATTGAAAACTACCCTCATCATAGCAATATTCCAATACTTGGACAGCAGTGAGAACACTTGCGCCTGTGAACAATCCAAGATTACCGCCAATGTTCGCTGAAAATAAAAAAATAATAATAATGAATATTTTCTACGTCATAAGGCACGCCATAATGACGTTCTATTGTAAATATTTTGGAAAATACAGTAAGAACAGATATTGGTCGTTAGTTGGACAATGAATCCTTCCAACCCATTTTGAAAATAGGGGAGACTCTAGCTAATTTCAATTGGTCTGTGGGAAAACCCCGCTTTTTAAAGATAAATTAAATATATGGCAAAGAGGTTCAGCTAAAAAATAAATTGATTGTTTTATAACTTTTAGGCTAAATTCGTCAAGTCCCTGTGCTTTATTATTTTTAAAGCCATTAACAATGTCTATAATATCAGTGTCCGATACTGGAAGCATAAACAATGAATTCAGGGTAGGTTGAGGTAAATATTTATTAAATTCGGGTCGATTCGTCGGCATTTTATTAGAAAGGGTTGGGCCTATTTCAACAAAATCAATGCTAGCACGAAGATAGAAAAAGGCGGGTGTATGCACTTTGAAATATTGATAAAGTGTGCATCATCCATATGTATAATATCAATTGATAGCATTTAACATGATAGTATATAATATTGCACTAGATGCCAATAAAAGATGCCAATAAAAACACATGGTTCGTAAATAAGGTCCGGCTCCTTAATGTGCTATAACAAAAAAGGATACGGTAAGCCATTGCTCCGTCAGAGAAATGTTAAGTAAAAGTACAAATAAAGTTAGTTTTAATCTTAATTGATATTATGATATGCTACTAGTTAAATGACAATAGCCAACGAGTTAAAAGAATAGACAATGTCTACCTAGGAGTGGAACCCACCGTTGATGTACAAGTTTCCGTTTCGGAAAGACGGCCTTTTACCCTCACTATAGGCTAGGGCCATTGTGTCTTAGACTTTTTTTTTGGCTAGATCCGCTTCGCTAAGATCATCGGTAACAAATAAGTTACTTTTTTTTAGTAATGCCCTAGCCTTCGTAAAGACTTGATGACGTTGGGGCCGTATATAAACTTGGCAACAATGCCTTGGTTTATCGTTCGGTGCACGGGGTTTACCTGTCCGGTGGGCGTTCTCAATCATAACTTCCGGAATATTTAACTTATTTTTGTTTTCGATTTTGTCCATCCTTCCTAATATGGTACTATGTTGGTTAGTTAGGACAGTTTCCAGCTGACCACGAATACCAAGCAAGTCCGTTGATAGCTGTTGAATTTCGCGCTTCAGTGCTTCCGTACTAGCAGCGCGGTGGCAGCTTTAGACGGGGGAGGCGACGCGGGTGACTGTGGGCCTACGTCTGCTGGTGATTTTTGGCCTACGTCTGTTGGCTGCTTTTTTACCCATCCTGTGTTATTTTTTACCTTAATGACAATCAACTTCTAAAGTTCGCAATACACTTACAGCTCGAATCGTATATCGTTGGCTACGATAGTATTTTAGTAACGATCTGTATATTTTTAGACGGAGCTAGCTGCCGACGTCCGTTCGCTCAGCCATTCCTCTCAATGATGCGACCGTTTTCTTTTTGGTGTAAAATGGATACGTAAACCTAAATAAACGCACCTTAATTACACATTTTTAATGTTGTTGTTTTTAATAACACATCCTACCGCCAAAATGTGTTATTGCGTGAGCATAAATACTTATTGATCCTAACCAGGTTAGAATAAATGTTATTCTACTGGAGTACAACATTAATAGAATATGTGAGAATGATGTTGCTTCCATTTTTTTGTTTACAGTAATTTAGGAGGCGTTTATTTGAGGAAGAAATAGACGCCTTGGGCGTTTATTTGAGGGAGGCGTGTATTACAAATGAGGCTCTGGTGAGGGGCGTTTATTCGAGGGGCGTTTATTCGAATAAATACGATATGATATATCTTACCCAACAAAACAACAACAGTTATTGCCGGTAGTTGATCAACTATTTCAAAATTCAGTGCTTCGTAAAATAATGATACAACTGCAACATTGTTCCTAAAAAAGAAGAGTAACACGATAACACAAGCTATATTAGAGGGTCCTTTTTAAAGGCATGGTTAAAATTTTTGTAAAAAAAAAAGAGTGGCATCTTCAAAAAATGTAATGTCATAGAGTAAACACAGTCTGTAGCTAATAAACAGAAACCATTGTTTCTGAAAATCGTTATAATTAACTTAATTTAACTAAATTATTAATCAATTAAGCAGCCAATTCAACCATCATAGTCGCGTCTCGTTAACATATTGTAAGTTTATCTGAAACGTCACTTAAGTCGAAATTTCATAACTCAAATAAATTAGGTTGACTTACTGGATGTCGTCAGCAGTGAAATTGAATGTGCCATTAAAGATACGCGACATGAAGTTGGTTCGTAGCTTGGCATTGGTCGTACTAAATGGAAAATCTTCAACTTCGCATGGAGATCGACATTCGCACACGTCATCCGGCAAGTTGCCTTCTGTTACTTGAACTATTAATAAAAAGTTGAAAAACCCTGAAATTCAGTTGGATTGTTTCTAATTTATTTTAAAGAAGTGTTTTAATAGAATATGGCCTTTTTTTGTCATTTTCCCTGAATATTGTCGTCCTCAATTACAAAATACTGTACCATTATTAGAGATTACATTAAAAGCACTAACTCCAGAAATTTGCTGACAAGGGGCTCGACATGTCCGACGGAGCGGTCCGAACCAAAGTGCCGCCTAGAGCTTCGGCAGGGGTCACGGAATAAACAAAAATCCTTGTAGGGTTCACAGGGAGATTTTTTAATGGTTTATTATAGCCCACATTGTGCTTTTAGACCACAATATTAGGATGGAAATTCCCAATCAAAATAACGTTATTTGGCTAGACAAATTATTATTTTATTTTAAAATTTTTGATCCGACTCTCCCCCCCCCCCATTCGCTGGCGCCACCACTGTTAACGACAATAATAGGCCTATCCCCATAAATCTTAGTCATAATGAAAACCAATAATAATGCAATAAAACATTTAAGCATATTGTGAAGAATTGTCAACGTATCTTAAACGACATTTATTTTACTTTACGACAACATCTTTAAGTAATCGTATTTGTGCGCTCAAGTTAACGATTATATAAGCGTCTAGGTTAAACATTAAAAGTACGTGTTGTAAATAGGTCTGATAAATACGGTCTGAAAATCGTAAAATATGTTTACTGTGTTCGGATCCAATGAGTAATGAAATGTCGACAAGACAACAATGTAGACAACATACAGAGGATAAATAGCCGAAAAGACAAGATAGGCCTACATGTAGACAACTTGATATGAAGCGTCGAAAGACGTATACAACTTACGAAGGATATCTTCAGCACATATATGTGTTTGATTAGGGCTACAAACCGGGAAGCCATCCCCAGTCGGTTGCTCAACAAGACGACAATTACAATATTTTTCAACCGCTTTTGTTTCACATTCGATACGGCAACCTTGGAGAGAGTAGGAGTCGTAGTAACCAGCAGTGTCCTCCGACTGACATTCCGTGTATGGCAGAGGCAAACTTGTTATCTGTAATGGTAAATTCATTACGATGTTTATAAATAAACACCACTAACAATGACTGTTTCCACGTTTGTTTACTCTCAAAAGATAGGCCTACACATTATGTGGTTTACTCAAAAATTGCACACATCCACAATTAACATTTAGGCCTATATAAGCACTTACTATTTTATTATCTAAATACTGTAAGCCTTATATTGTGAAATTGAGTGGCTGGGCCAGGATGGGTATGAGGAAAACCCCAAGGTGCGGCTATATATATATTTGTGTTCAAATCATCTCATATCTTGCCAGAGCGCCCTCACTTAATCATCGAGCCCTCCAACTTCACCCACTCCTCCCGCACCTCATCAGTTCGCCCCACCCCATTACCCCTGCCACCACCACACCACAATAAGCACTTAACATTAGTTTTCTGACAGGCCGACAGGAAAAAATGTTACATTTTAATGGACAGAGGAATTCCAGGCAGGGTGTGGCGTATCCAGGATTTGGAAAGGTGGATTGGAAAGTGGTGGGGTTACTGAATAGAAATATTGCATCCACTAGACTTTATGCGAGGCGCAAAACTTGGAACGAAGTACCGTACTCGCGCGATGGCAGGATCGTTGTATTTTTCTTGAAAACTCAGATGAGAATGTGCTTAAGGTCGAAAAAGAAAAAGAGGAGTAGGACTAGACATAGACAAATATGTAAAAAGATTAAAGTTGGAAATATACTGTCTGTCCAGGGATCGGAGCTCTCATCTGTCCAAGAGAAATATCCTCATTTGGATATTGACTGAAGAAGAATGTGTTTCCACTCTACAGCTCAAATCATGCACAACCACAGTCCCAGGATTGATTGGATTATTGACTTTGCTAAAAAGAAAAATCTTATGAGGGGGCGCTTATTCAAACGGGGCGCTTAAGGAAAATTTCACGGGGCGGTTATTCGAACGGGGCACTTATTCAAACGGGGCGCTTATTCGCGCGAGTACGGTACTGTATATCGATTGCGATGGCTACAAATGTGGTGTTAACGTCTGAAGTTTCTTACTTCGCCACTTCTTTCAATTAATTTATTACTTTTATTTCACGTTTGAGTAAAACGGGGATGCTCATGTACAATTGGCACCTCCTGGTTACTTACTTACTACCTAAGCAAACAGGCTTATTTTGAATGTCGAGTGGATGTCTATGATTTTATAGTATAATATAGTATAATATTCAATTCAATATAACAAAGAATCAATTTACATATTTAATAATTTAAAAAAATTAAAACACAAAAGCAAAACATAGACAATAAGACAAAATGGATAAAAGATAATAGGCCTAACCAGTATAGCTGGTAGGTTTGTTTAAGAGTGGGTTCCCAACAAAAACTAGATACATTATTTTCATTCTTGATTTTATTATTTAATGCGATAATTATTATTTAATTTTCAAAATTGGAGTGATGAGTAAGCCTCCCAAGCTGACCTGCGAATGTCGCATAGCAACGTATGTATGCTGCCCAACCGACGCCACAAAACCCAGTTCCTTGAGATACGGAGGTTCTGCTGGTAGATGGAGCATGATCTTCACGCCAACGTCCATGGCGTCTCCACCCAGATCATTGGTCGGTGTGTACTGCTCCACTTCCATGTTTAAGATCAATCGTAATCCATTGCCTAAAAATAAATATAAACGGTTATAGGTTATTGGCTTAGGTGTCTGAAGCAAATTAAATGGCCTGTATAGGAGCGGTTTGGTGCAATGGTCGTGGTTTAACTTCTCGGCTTCAGGATGGTGTTCAACCCCTCGCTGTGCATTTCACACTTTCCTTGGGCAAGGTACTTTACTTACGTTTGTTTCTCTCAACCAAAGAGTACAAATAGATTAAGAGACAGGTGCTTTTAGACCACAATATTAGGATGGAAATTCCCAATCAAAATAACGTTATTTGGCTAGACAAATTATTATTTTATTTTAAAATTTTTGATCCGACTCTCCCCCCCCACCAGACACTAAACCTTCGAACCCTCTCCCCCTCATCCCCATTCCAAAAACCCCTAGATGCACGCACTGCACACACACGCACTAATACTAGCTTCAACGTTACAAAATTGTACCCAGAGAGTTGAGTATGTGTACTTGTTTGATCCAATGACCGGGATAATGATCATGATGTGAAGCACTTAGAAGCCCCATTGGCATTTAAGCCTAAGATCTACAAGGGCAGATCCATAATCTTTCAAACGGGGGGAGGGGGCACAACATATTCAGAATAGATAAGTAAAAGCGCTAATTTCAATATATGCCTTGACATTTTAAAATTTAGTAGCAAACACCCCGTGCCCCTACTGGATCCGCCCCTGATCAATTACAATTCCAGCAAATTATTATTAAACCCACAACCATTATTTATTCAGGAATGCATAGATTGAACCTGTTATAGGTTTATACTATCCCCAGGTAGAAATAATTCTACATCAGTTTTAAACGCTCCTTTTGTGAATGAATGTTATATTTTGTGTAGTGTCATTAACACATATCTCATTGAATGAAGAATTTACCCGCTATCAAAAATAGTTACAAAGACAATTAATATAACCATAACACGCAATAGTGATTTGTTTATACAAGTTGTAGTCGTAAGTGTTTATAGAGATATAACGATGAAGGAAACGTCACTCCTCTCAAATAACTTTAGAGTGTACCACCGGTAACATTGTTTATTCTTATACCATTAATTAAGTAAGGCTAATATCGCCGCTATCGCTTCGATTCCGATAGAATTTAAAGTGCTCCTTCTTGTGATGATACGTGACCACAGTCGATAGATCATGCTCTGATTTAACCGGGGAGGCATAAAACATTATTTCAATACCTCCCTGGATTACCGCCCTCTCCTATTAGGCCTCTGTGCTCATTTATAACAACTCTATGTCGCTCCAGTATTGAATTGAAGCTTATTCAGTTGGCAGCGCGTTAACAGCAGCCTACTCTGAATATCATTGGTTCAATTCCCGAAGGCTAGTACATGTTTTAGATAAGTTTGAAATTTACTTTCCAGGACTTGATTTCACTTCATCAGGGTATAGGCGGTAAAGAAAAAATGTTAGGTAACACATTTTCATGATACCTGTAACCAAGGTAGAAGCCAAAATCGAAAATGCTCGCACATACACACTGAAAATAACCATAAATTATGTACTTTTCGTCTTCGATTGACAGTTTTTGTCTCTAACCTAATGTTTTATGGATCACAGTGAATCATTGAAACCGTCTTAAATGTTGGAATGTGATCAATAATGAATCCAAAATAGCACCACTCCTGCAACGTGCAAATGATATCATTGTCAATATACCAATGCATGGCTTTAATTGCTTCCTAGTTGTCCAATAACAATAATTAATGCGAAGCATATCCCAAAATTACAACCCAATATATCTCATAGAGCTTAGGCCTATTGTTACTTACTTGCACCGGCGTTAAGGGATACTTTTCTGTCTTTATCCGCTGAGAACTTATTAAATGTATAACAATTTCCCAAATGAGTAAAGACATGCATAAAGTCATCTTCCTCGCAATCTTCTTCTCTCCACAAACACTGTAAATACAATTGAAGTTATTACGTAAGCTTCAAATCATATCAACATACAGTTACAGCCCCTCCAATCTGAGACCACATTTAGGGCTGAACATTTCGGTTGGTCTCGGGTTTGGTCCCCATTTAGAGGGTTAGATTTGTGTTAAAAGATTGAATATCGTCATTTGGTTCTTTGAAAAATGTGGGCTCGAATTAGAGGGGTCTCGGAATTAAAGGGTCTCGAATTAGAGGGTGCACTGTATTTTATTTCGCCGATATTTTGTTAAAAATGGCTACTATAAAATGGCTACTATAAAATGGCTACTATAAAATTCTTAATGCGATAATTATAATTATGTTAAAATCAAGTAACAGAAATAAAGAAAACAAAATTTTTTGTCTGTTTGCACATGTAATTCATTAAGCCCGTATTTTTTATGAGATAAGCTCATAATTATTGAACGGTCCACTGATTAATCTCAGATAAGAAAGTATAATACATGATTCCTGATGATGACATAATTAATGTCGAAATATTGAATCCCAACACAATGGCGTGCATTTCAATACTTTGAGTAGGCCTAGGCCTATGTATTATACTTTATCGTAATTATTTGTAATGCACCTGCTCGAATTCGTTAATTATACAGTATAATATAAGAGTTAAGACTCAATAAATGGCCCGTAAGGCCTGAAAGATATGCCTACACTTTTTATAAGAACCATTAAAATTGTGCTCCGGCTGAGTGTTCTTTTCTTATTCGTTCTTTTTACACACTTAAAAATAGAAAATTATTATTATACAGCAGTATATTACTGTACTGTATAACGTTAATACTTTACTGCATTTGACTATGCCTAATGTGTGTGATTTTCTTGATTTGCAAAATAAAAATCTCACTAACATTTTACGTCAGCCTCAATTTGTTCTTTTTTTTTGTTCTTTTTTCAGCCTCGGTGTTCTTATAAAATAGGATAGGAGTATTTTTGGTGTGAATCTCACCAAGGGCAACCCACTAAGTCCGATGACTTGTTTCCAGTGGAGTCCATTTGGTCGTGAATTGGGCATCGGGAGACAATTCCCTTGTCTTTTCCGTAAAGTGTACTGCGTTCTCTGCGTGCACATGGACCATATTGCACACGAAACTAACGGCTTAAACGTCTCATCCGAAAGACGGTCGCTATCGTAACTTGTATTTCAGCCCTCCAGCTGAAACACAAAGAGAGCAGCGATAGGAATTGAACCGGGGACCAAGAGTTCTCCAAGCGCACACACAGTGGCTACCACCGGTTTAGCCGATCGACTGAGCTAAGCTGCTCTCAAATGAAATATGTTTTTATAATAAACGTGCAACGTTTTCAAGCTTCATTAAATTCAAGCTTCCTTAAATATTTTGTTATGAGAGCAAGAGGTGCAGAGGGGTGTATCCCCCACTGATATTCCAATACTTTTCACGTTTGTGGTTGATTTTGTTTTCAGAACATTAGGCCTAGTGGTTAATGTGATATTAGTGACTGATGTTTATAACATTAGTGGTAAAAAGTTACATTAGTGATTGGTTTTATTACATCAGTGGTTATTATTACATTAGTGGTTGATTATTACATTAGTGAGTGATACAGAGGAGGGTAGGATAGGATAAGATGGTCGTGGGATAAGAGATATTTAGGGGTAGCTTATGGTATATTTTTCATTATGTTATGATTTTTGATGCAAAGAGAAATGGTAGTTTGCTCTACATGGATGGGTTTGCTCCTGGAAAGGATGATTTTGTTAGACACCCCCTATTTATAAGCCGGCGTGTACCCCTTTTACAAGTTTTTTTTTTTAATTTCTTGTTTTAATTCTATATTTATATTTTACGACTTTAAAAGTACACAGGCAATACAGTATATAGTGGCGTATCTAGGAGCCTTTAAATGGAGGAACTACTAGTGCCGCGAAGGTGAAGTGTGGGAGGGGCCGCTCGATCATTGGGTGAAGAGGAGCTAGCTCGCAAAATAAGTTGATTTGAGGTGATTGTTAATAATTTGAGCGTGATTTATTTTTTGGGGGTGACGACTGGAGGTGGCGAGCATTCTTTTAGGAGGGTGCGCCCCCGGTGCACCCCTAAATACTCCACTAGTAACACCGTATCTCACACAGTAGAAGAGGTATATTCTCAGCAAGCATGTTCGCGTTGTGTTCATTGACAGATATGACGTCATCGTATACAAAAAGGACCTGGTTAGTTTGTTTACCGTTAGGTACCGTAAGATGCCAATTTAAGTTAATTGAATGTATAGAAGAATAATAAAATTAAGAGTCTAGTAAAATAATTACGTTATTTACTTCCATAACGTCTGTCTTTGCTTTGACGTCAAACGTACTTGGTTTTGCGTTTCAATTCGATTACAAAAGTCGATTATTTTAGAGAATTAAATCACAGGGTAACAACACTACAGGTATTTGTCAAATTCATATTTACAATAGAATATGGGTTTGGTCACATGTACGTGATAAATGTTTGATAAATATAGGCCTAAAGTAGTTTTGCCCATTGAATAATTTTTGAGCCTATCTTACTCCATATAAACCTTGTTGATGATAATATGTATTAAAAACGAATTATCATATAGGTCTGATATTAATCTCGTATTAAATAGGTAACCGTTACAAAGTACAATATAAAGCCAGGGGTAGGCTTTAACTCCGGCCTACATTATTTAAATACAAATAATCCTTAAAACTATTTGAGCTACGAACTGTCTTTTACATAAGTGATTCTGATAGATTGATAAGATTGAAAACTGAATTAAAATTGATTTTTAATTATTCTATCAATTACTGTACATTCAATTGCGTACGAAATTAATGTTCTAATGTTGGCATTGTGTAATTGGGTAAGGGGACTAATTGATTAATGAAAGCATACGGTAGTTCATTAATTGAATATTGAATGTGCTGTTAGTTTGAAAGGACATCTGTTAATACTGTACCGACTTAGTGATAAATGTGGAACATGTGCAGTCCAGGCCCGTTTTAACCAGGATTCCATGAGGTGGGATGGGGTAATTTCCTATATGAAAACCAGAGATCCAGAGGGTCCCCCCGCCCCACGGAGCTGAAGAATTCTCGCATAGTGGTGAATTTCATCATCGTTCTGATTCAAGGGAATGTGTGGTTTGATTTAGCAGAGAGGATTTGCTCAAAAATGAGTTCGCTTCGGCCATACAGGACATTTTCAATAGCCAAACTAATACTGTTTAAAATTTAAAATGTTTTTGAGACATAAACCATTGTGATCAATCAAAAGTTTAAGTTGAGCCAGAAAAGCTCAGAACATGAGCAAAATCCTGTTCACAAATGTGTTAGAGTAGGGCATGAGCAAAACCCAGCACCCAGGAGTGTAGCACGTTACTAAGAATATAGAATATCTATATTCTTTGCTAATACATAGGCCTGAGTGTCCCAGCTCTCCCGTTCCTTCTAAACAAATTAATGCATAAAATGAAAAATAGAATTCCGGAACTTCGTGGGATATCGGTATCAACTAAATTACTATAAGAGCAGCTAGCTCAGTCTGCTAAACTGGTGGTAGCCACTGTGTGTGCGCTGCACCTTGCATCTCTAGATCCCCGGTTTAATTCCCATCGCTGCTCTCCTTGTGTTTCAGGTAGAGGGCTGAAATGCAAGTTTCAAAAGCGCACCGTATCTCGGATGAGACGTTTAAGCCGTTGGTCCCGTGTGCAAAATGACCCATGTGTACGTTAAAGAACGCAGTACACTCTTCGGAAAAGAGTGGGAGATTGTCTCCTGATGCACTGCCCGATTCACCACCAGAAAGACCCCAATGGAAATAGGTCTCAGGACTTTCGTGGGTTATCCTTGGTTATCACACTGATTACTATCAATACTACCACCTCCTTGCAATTCCTTAAAATATTACCTTAACAATAAAATCCTCTTTTTGGTGACCGGTTCTTTTAACAAAATCTGTCATGTTGAAGTTCGGATCTTCGACTGTAGTTGTCCAGTTAATGGCGTTAACTTTAGCAGCAAATTCATCGGTGTAAAGCCCCGGTGAAAGCAGTTTACGATTTTCGTCAAGGATTCCTTGAAAGCAAATGATAACATTTTATTAATAAGGTAATGAAATTATTATACAATATTTACGATTACGTCATTGGGATAATAATAATAATGATGGTAATAATAATATTATCATGGCAAGATACACTATTGCAATAAAATCAATAAATAACAAGAATAATCCTGTAATAATAATAATAATAATATTAATAATAAAAATATCAATAAATACATAATAATAATAGACTATAACTCGTTCAACAACAACAGCAACAGCAACGGGGAAAAAACAACAATAATAATAACAATAACAACAACAATAATAATAATAATAATAATAATAATAATAATAGTAATTATAATAATAATAATAATAATAATAATAATAATAATAATAATAATAATTATAATAGTAATAATAATAATAAGAATAATAGTAATAATAATAACAATAATAATAATAATAATAATAATAATAATAATAATAATAATAATAATAATAATAATAATAATAATAATAATGATAATAAGCCTAATGAATTTGGTTATACTTTTTTAATTGCACTGGTTTATTGCCCATGACTCATCGCAAGTTATCTTAATTGAGAGTAATTTCTAAAATCATAAAACGTATTATCTTAACAGGTGCAGAGGTAGTAATGAGAGTATGCTCTTCTGGCATCTGTCTATTACAGGCACTATATACACAGTTCCTTCCATATATCTCTCTTGTTTATGCAGATCAGGAATTTTGCTTAGTTGTTTGCATTAACTATCTACATCGTTGGTACTGCCACTGGGGCCGTGGATTTGTGTATATTTTTCTCTACCACCTTCCAATAAAAAAAAAAAGCTCGCTCCCCCAGTCGCACGCTCCCGTCCGCTAGAAATTTTCAAAGCAAACAAATTACACTCAAGTAGTTAATCAACTCGTATCAGCTTATTTTGCCAGCTAGTGCCTCCTCACGCAATCATCGAGCTCTCCTACTTCACGATCGCTTCCCCTTCCCCTCGCCGCCTACTATTTTAAACCTCCTAGATACAGTAGGCCCTGCGCCACTGGTGTGCATTTTTATTACGCACTTTCGTTTGCGAAAACACAAGATTTCTCATTCAACATACAGTACTGGTTTAAAAAACAATCATGTCTTATTTAGTTATTTCCTACCGATAGATTTTGAATAGTTTTATCAACACTGTAAAAACGGCGTGGAGGATTTAAACGCAAAGCTCTACACATTGTTGTCTCGTCTTTGGTAGGAAGGGGCATGGTCCCCGACAAGGGGGTGGGCCTGAATCCCCCGACAAGAGCAAAGTGGGTGTGGTCGGACGTCACTCAAAATCTTTCGAAAGTGGTCCACGGCGAATCCCCAAAAAGTATGACAATTTAAGGGTTTCAAAGGCTTATATAATTATGTAGAATATTTAATTATGTAGAAAATACATATAGGTCTAATTTGTTTTCTCCCCGAAGAATTGTGGTTTTTTTCCCCGACCGCAGGGGGTGGGGTTGCATCCCCTATCTCCCTCCCCCCGTATCGCCGCCACTGAACGCTGGTATTTTACCGCGTGCTCTATCTAATTTGTTTCCCGGTACAGGTGCCCATGTTAAGACGACAGTATGCCAGTGAATTTATTTTTTAGAAATAATTAATATTTTTGTTTTGTTTATTTAGGCGTATATGTTACGTTTTAATCCAAACATTTGTTTTTGTTAATGAGAACACTTGTGTCAAATTTTACGATATTATGTATTATAATAAAGAACATTGCTGTGAATATCTTCGCTGTTCACATGTGATTACGAATTTTATGAGAAAGTGTGGAAATAAAAGTAATTTTGAAATTTGATATGTATTCTACCTATGAAAACTGAGATCTGCCCTCCCATGAAACTGTAGGAAGAGCCTAACGCAGTGACCTCTTTAGAATACAATATTTTATTATGAACAGTAATAGACCTAAGGCTATTGTCTAATATAAAATTGAAAACAGAAAGTAAACATTATATTATTACTGTTGTTCTTTTATATCATTGTTATTAAACTTATATCATAATAATTATTATTCATTTACTATTATCATTATGTTACCAGATTTATTAGAAATTTATGTCTAATTAACAATTAAAAAAATAAAATATTTGATGATATTATTATGAACAATAATAATGTTATTGTCTGATATAGAACTGAATGCAAAAGTAGACATTTATTATTATTAATATTGTTTTTCTTTTATATTATTATTAAATAATCTTTTTAGTAATATTATTATAATAAATTATTATTAATTTACTATTATTATTATTATTATTATTATTATTATTATTATTATTATTATTATTAGTATTATTATGATTATAATACTAGGCCTAAATTTGTTTTTACATTTAAGTCTAATTGATAATAATAAAAAATAAATGTAAGATCAAATTTAAAATATAATGCATAGGTCTATATAACAAAACAAAAACAAGAACTACGCAAGAAGAAGAATGCATATATAATAGATCATTATAATATATTTACATAGGTGTACAACATTACCGCAAGACCAACAGCAATGGACAGTTGACATAACATTCTATTCATAATTTACGCCAGGTGAGTGAATTTGTCGGTAGCGCATGGCTTCTGTTACGCGACACATGCAGACATTTATACATATCAGTCATTACAGTACATTACATACTAGAAGTCTAAAACTCTTAAAACACCACTTTACCAATATTACTTTCGATGTGTGACAAAGACATACAATCTATAAATGAATCAAACTTTAAAGTGGCTTGAAATTGAAGGGGCTCATGGGGGAGCGCCAGTGTGAAGTGGGTGGTCGTTGAGGTGGCGATCTCGCAAAATAAAGTGATTTTTAACTACCTGAGCGTGTTATTTTGCTTCGAACATTATCGATGGAAAGGGGAGATTGGGAGGGGAGCGATCTTTTTTTTTGGGTGGAGGAGGGGTAGAGGTGGGGCATGCGCACTCCCCTGTATACGCCACTGCGCCTTTGTTCAGTAATACATAGAATTATTATTGTTTGATTGTGGGAGTTAAAATTATTATAAATTATTGTCCGATCTAATTACACCAAACCGTGCAGTCCAGTTCAACGCATTCTATACCGATAATTAAATTGGTGCGAATTTTTTGTTCATTTTGACAATCTTCTTCTTATTGATTATTACAGATGTAGGTCAAATAATTAATTAAAGAGTAGAACGTATTGAAAGAGTAAATTGATATTAATTCTTTAAATATTTTTTTTATACTAATTGATATTAGGATACGAGATACATATCAAACTAATAACAAAATCATCATTATTATTCCATGCCTATTATGACTACTGTACTACATTATCGATAGTCTACAACTTAACGCCTGGGCGATTTGATTGCATAAAAATACTTCCTCCTTGGTTCGCGTTGCTAAAGCTCAGACAATCCAAGTCACATTTTCTCATTTTAAATGACACGTCTGGAACCGGAAGAGCAATGATACACTATACGGCCGTTATGTATAAATTAAATTACCGTACTTTGTGGATATGGAATTGGTAGAAATTCCTAGTGTCTCTGTACCAAAAATTGTTATAGAATAACTATATATGGCTGGTGTAGACGACCGATTATGCAGTCAACTTGAAATTTGCTATTGTTTATGATAGGCACGATTTCAGATCGGTCTATGCCTAATATAGTATCAACAACTTAATTTGCGTGGTATGCTTAAGAATTGTAAATGCCGGACACTTACTGCGTCGTACGACGGTCTTGTACGACCGTCAAAATGTAAACATTTGTGAGTACTTTGTGGTAGGCCGCCCACCCGCTATCATGAGATGAAAACCATTAGTTACGAAAATCCTATAATTTGAAAAAAAAAGGAAGGCAGAACAGAACACACAGTGCTAATAATAGAGGCGAAAGGACCTTCCTATTAAAACGATTTGGCGGTGGTCTACGAATGAAATTTACGTCAGATCTCGATTAAGACCTACTGTATATATGTCTTATATGTTGAAATTTTATGATATCAAATGGAGCCTGTTCCAAAGCACAGAAAATGTATTAATAAACTCGCTCTCGTCGCATGAGTTTTTAGTAGCCTCTTAATAGAACGCCCACTTTTACTTAAGTTCACTTGTTTAAAGAGGAGAGAAACACTTAACACGCGGTGATGGATATTCTAATTATTCTGTACATTATTCGTCGTCTAATGTTAATAATTATACATCCTCAATACGAAATATTAAGTCTCACATTTTGATATATCGTATGTTATTGGCAAGATATTAAAAGCGAGCATTATTAAAAGCATGATGTTACAGACCAATTAAGTAAAAGTAAATTGTGCGTTGAAATGTTCTTAATGTTTCACAGTGAGCACGTGCCAATTCGGACCTGCGACTTCGGTTCTTCCACAACCTAAAGCCATAGTAATATGGTCCCCACGAGCAAAGAATTAGGTCTTGTGATTCGACCACCAATCTCGAGATTCGACCATCCAGGGGCGGATCCAGAGATGTCCGAAAAGGGGCAGGGGAGAAAGTGGGCCGATCGAGAAAACACCCGGGATTAGGGGTCCGGGGGAATGCTCCAGCAAAATTTTTGTTTTCTAGACGCCCGAAAATAACCTCTGAGGCGTTTTGGGAGATCATATTTTTTCTTTTGCTTTCTTTCTGTTTTTTTTTTGACTTTCTAAAGGTGTGGGGTGGGGGGAGGCCGACCCCCCCCCACACTAAATATGCCCTGCCATTTGACTCAATATTTTAGGTACATGTAAAGCGCCGAACCCACTATGAACGTATTGTACAGGGAGGGAAAGGGAGGCTGAATCCAGTGTTAGCGGCCAAATTCCATGCGACACCAACATTTGTTGCATTTCACTGCAGGTATAACGTTAATAATGCACTGAATTAATGCACCTCATTTCCTCTACAACTGACATAAAAGTTTACATTCGTAGTGGAAATTATCATTATACCAATAATTTTGGACAATTCCTCCATGATGAGACTTACATCAATGGCCATCGATTAGATGTCTGGTTGCCTTGTTAACTGTGAGATCATTAGTACTTTTGTTAAAAGCACAATGGCACATGAGAGGGCTAATCAATAATTTGTCCTTTATTCGAATTATGTTATGAAGTTGTAATTGTAACTGGTTCTACAAACGCTACGGTTATTATAATGTGGATGGCACGACTAATGCAGAGATTCTACGTTTCTCTTTAAAATTCCTCCCAAAGGCGCCCAAGAACGTACTCTTCCAATCTAACTCCCAAAAGTACGGTAGTTATTCTGCAAATGCGGATCCAGACTGAAATTCACAGGGAAACTATGGTAGGCCTAGTAGGTTCTAAACTGAATTGACATAGAGAAATTAATAATAATCACTTTAATTGAAAAAAGTACCGACTGCCCTTAAATGGTGACTCTTACATTAAAAATACAACTGTATTTAAAAGTGACTTAACTTAAGTCTGACTCCGGAGGAAATTTTGATATGTTGTAGAACTGATATTTCTAAGACACAAAAAGCATACCGGTATTTGACGAAAAACTAATGAACGGTTAATGAGATACAGATTTTTGAAAACAAAAAAATCAAAACTAGGGGTGGGGTGGGGAAAGGTGGAAAATAGGGTGGTTACACCTCCTTCCCCCCAGTTTTTATAAGTATTCAAAACTCTGTATCTCATTAACCTTTGCCGAGTTGTTGGTCAAATATGGTTGTTCTGTTCATATCAAAGTTGTTTTCATCCGGAGCCTCACTTTAAAATGAATAACATTAAATAATATCAGAATACAATAATTTCCTAAATTAGTATTTACAATAAAATTGATTAATTTAACCTTTCATACAAATAACTAAAACCAAATCTGCAAGTGTATAAGTGGCCCTTCTAAAATGATAATGAATTACATGCACTTAAAACATATAATCAAGATGTCTAGATGACAAACGAACTGGAATAATATGACAAACGTTTAACAAATGTGCGGGAATACCAAGAACACACATTAATTCTTCGAAGATTTATGCGTATTAACACGTGTGTCGTCTGTGCGAGGTTTATTAGTGGCACACGGGAGGGAAATTACGACAAGCCGTTTAGCTTATGATGCTGTTATCTTGAATTCTTGGTCGTTTATTTCCAATACTAATCAGATTTTTAGTAACCAGGTGTTCTTGTGCAAACTTCAGATGAGTTACAGTAGTTAGCCTAATTATGGTTTGGATAGGCCTAAAGAGAGAATATGATGAAACCATGGATGTTAAGAAATGCCAAACCTCCATGATAAAAACCATCTATTTAGGCCATTTCGTCAATCCATATCATAGGCCAGTACATTAAAGGAGCTCTGATATTATCGGTAAAGTAGTTGGAATGAAAAACATCCGTTAAGCCGAGCACTTAATGCACCAGTCGGTTGTCGTCGGCGGACCCGATTCTATGAAGAACGCAACGCCACGATGCGCGTGCAGCGGTTCACGTTGCCACCAAAAGAGTATAGAACTGCCATTCTGTACTCTTTGCTGCTGCTACCGACAATCAGCAGACGGGGTCGTGTCGTCAGGGAGTTGGATTCGTCGTACTCTACGTCGTACGACGCAGTGTGCCTCCGGCTTTTAATCCCACAGGCATTACTTTAAGTGCTGTTTGTTCTCTGAATAGGTTCAAAATAGACCTACCCATTAGTAACGATGAATAAATTTTGGTGAATTCTACGGTTCCATTTAGGCCATTAGGCATCAGTGTATCATAATATAAATACAATGTTTGAAATATAATTCTGTAATCTATTACTTCACTGTATCCATTAACTGTAGATAAATATTAGAATGAAATAGGGGAAGCACCCTATTGTATAAAGAAAAGCAATGTCAACTTAAATATCCAAACACTGAGGAATGTATACCTCTATGATCAATACCACATAATCATTAGGCGTTAAGTCTACTATTTACCGGAATACCCAAATATACGTCAGGTCACTTAAACTGAAATATGATCACTTATATTGGTAAGCAGACAATAAAGTACATTATTTCTAAATGTTTATGAAAACAATCAATATTTGCTTGGGAAGCAATCCCATGATGCATCCTTCCATCCCTTTGGTTTGGTCCCATAATCGAAGCAGCAACTTGCTCGAATGTATTCTTTACTATCACAATATCATCTCCATCAACGGTTACCATACGGGTACATGACGGCCCACTTTCAGTGGCATCCATCAAGTTAAGCGATGTTTCCATACAAATCAGTAAAGGGCGCTCTATGCCCTTTTTGTTCAGAGCCCTTAGGTTCAGAGCAATCGAGTTTTCAATTAAAATAATACCCAAAGTTAAGATTAGTCTCTGTCTGCCATTTATGAATCATGGCGTACGCAAGCAAAAATACAATATTTGAATTATAATTCTGTAATCTATTACTTCACTGTATCCATTAACTGTAGATAAATATTATAATGAAATAGGGGAAGTACCGTATTGCACAAAAAAAGCAATGTCAACTTAAATATCCAAACAATCAGGATTATATACCTCTATGATCAATATTACATAATCATTAGGCGTTCTAAATGTGTATGAAAATAGTAACGTTGCTTAGGCCAGTGGTTCCCAACCCTTTTGCGTTCGCGGACTCCTCGCGGGCCCCACCATGGTTGGGGCTGACGTACAACATTTTTTATGGCATTTCTAGATGGCTGGAGAAGGCACGGTCAGACTCAAAATTTGAAGGTGATTTAATTCCCAATTTAATTTTTAATTTGTAAAATTTAGGACGACTCATGGTTGATATTCCACCAATGGACAGAAAATGATTCGCCAAATTACGACATGTTGGATTTTGGAATTAAACATAGACAGGAGGGAGTGGTTAACAGACAGTACATTTTACAAATAGGGGATTTACGCTACCTCAGCCCCACCGAACTTTTTTTTTTTATGATTATGGCACTTTTAGTTGGCCGGAAATGATAATTTCTGACTTTAATTTTAATGTAATATTCTGTTATCCTCCATTTACTTTTAATTTTGTCAAATGTAGGGCTTCTCCTGATTTTTTAAATTTATTCAATATCCAGGTAAAAGTAATACAAGAGAAAACATGTAAACAAGATGAACATTACCTGAGTAAGAATACATAAAGCACTACTTTAAAAAATTCAGATCACCGATAAAATATTAGAATTAAAATATACCGTAATGCCAGTTTAAACAATTTAGAGTGAACAAAGTCATCCCTTTCAAAGGTATTTCATTATCGTCAGTGCATTATCACACTGTTGTGAGACAAGACAAAGTACCGGTAATTGAATCATGAAAAAGTTGTTTTTAATAATTATAGCGGACCCCCAAATTTGTCTCGGTACCTTGCGGGTCCCTTTGACTTGGCGGACCCCCAATTATATTTCGGGGACCTCTAATAATAATATTGACAAAAATAATAATTAAATTATTAATATTGTTATTCGATGTGGTTTGGGTCAGGAGATTATTATGAATGCTTTTTTGCCCAACCTTGCTTGTTATCGTACTGAATGCTCAGTACGTTCTTAAATAATCCCGAAAAAATATATAGCATTGCAGTACTTGCTGCTACTTGGAGATCGGATTCAACACTAGCCACTAAGCGCAAGCTCGTTGGTCTAGTGGTTATGATACCAGGCTAGTTATCGAGGTTTTGGGTTAGATTCCTACCCGAATAATTTTCGAGTTGATTGGCCAAGCGCTTAAGTAAGGGACACCATAACATTCATCTCTAATCTCGGCGCTGGTTCGAACTGCTCACTCGCCAATGGTTCCGGTGGTGGAACAAGTCTTCTCGGATAAGGACTTTAAACCGTAGGCCCAGTGTACGCATTTGGTCCGTGTGCACTTTAAAGAACCCAGTACATCCTTCGAGAAATGTAGGGGGCTACCCCCTGTACTGGTCCATTAAGTCCCCTGTTTAACTTTTTTTGTTTTTGCAAATTTTTTTTCGTACACTGAGAATTTGGTACGTATTTGGGAACGTAGGGCTACTCAGCATTATCAGTAATAATAATAACAATAATAACAACAACAATAATAATGATAATAATAATAATAATAATAATAATAATAATAATAGTAATAATAATAATAGTAATAATAATAATATTGATAATAACAATAATAATAACAATAATTATGATAATATTCTTACCAAGATGGTAGCCCACATTGACGATATCGTCCTGCGTAAACGCTGATTCTCTGTATTTGTTGAAATTACAGACAGTAATGGCCGGAAAAACCACTGTGTTTTTATATTCTATGTCCACTTTGGTAACATGATGATAATCAAAAAAGCTTATAAAAAGCAAAGCTGTTTCGTAAATTACAATAACCCATGCTGCGATAGTTACAATTATCCAAATTAGCTTCCTGACAGTACCACCGTCACCAAATATCCCAGGGAGCCCATGCAAGTCCGTCTTTTCCGTCGAATAAATTGGTAGATAAAAACTATCTCGATCACAACCCATATTTGTTTTCAAACAGAACTGTCCGTTGTAAACAATATAACGTCTTGTTGACTTGATTGGCTTTATTCAGTATAAAACAACATCAGATACATTAAAATGCAACATTGGTTTGATTATCGTTTTTATATCCAATTAAATTTTTATCTCAAGGTAAGAAAGATTGTTCCACTGGCTATCCTACAATTCTCACTTGTAAGAGAATGTCTACTAAGTAAGACGCGCTTCATACGTGCATCGATTCGACCGGGTACTTATCGTTCCAGGATCTAGGCAACCATTCACACTTCACAGTACTTCTTTCAATAGAAGGCTTAATCTATATGAGGTAAGAAAGAAGGGTTAACGATTTATAAGAAAGCACTGCGACGGTCCTCTCCAATTTTACAATTCCCTGCTAAGTAAGAATAATTATGCAAATGTAGCCAACATTTCCTCGTAAATCTCTTCAAGTCACTACGCCGAAGTTTATAGCTGAGTCAGCTGTGCATTTAATAATATCTAGGACGAAAAGCGCAACATGTTTTAATATTATCAGTAGTAGGGCTATAGTATTGTAATGTAAAACAACAGGCCTAGGATTCATTAGGAAATATAGTATTTTATAATGATAATAATAATAATAATAATAATAATAATATTAATAATAATAATAATAATAATATTAATAATAATAATAATAATAATAATAATAATAATAATAATAATAATAATAATAATAATAATAATAATAATAATAATAATAATAATAATAATAATAATGGTTCTATGGTTGAACAGTCACGTAACAACAGGTAACTGAAGATGGCTGGTAGGTCATATTCTGTGTCCTATTCAGGGTGTGAATCTCAATGCTTTCCCTTATTTTTCTATTGTCCCTCACGGCACACTACTTCCATGTTTTCCATTTGTATGGTGTGTTTTGTTGATTTGATGTGTTCTCCAACTGCTGTGATTAATCCAGATTATCTAGTGTGTTCTTTGTATCTTGTGCCAATTGCTCTTGCTGTCACCAACGTACGTGGTGGGGCATTCTAGGCAACAGATTTTATAAATTGCTCCACATATGTTGGGTTTTGGAGTGCTGTCTTTGGGGTGTACAATGACCTGATTTGTTTGTGTTATGTGTGTACACCATGTTCTTTGTATATATTTGTGAGTTATTCTGATAAGCCTCTAATGTATAATGTATAGGTACTCTACTACACAGATTAGAGACGAGGTGTCCGAGATTTTCCCGACGAAAAGCAAAGTGGACGTTGTCGAGCTTCGATTAAAAGGCCCCGAAAGTGGTCCTGGGGGCGAACCCCCCGAAAATTTCGACAATTTAGGGGTTTCAAAGACTTATTTTATCGAGTTTAGAGTTTAATAATAATTAAATAATACATATAACATTTTGTTTGTCCCCGACGAAGGCAGATCTCTTCAGTAAGGCAGTTCCCTGAATGATGTTGTTGTGACAACACCGAAAGCTCGGACTCAGACAAACGAAGACTCTGAAAGGTAACATTTTCACTATCATGCAAACAACGGATTCAAGTAGTAGTATACATGCTGTTAATATTATTATTATTAATAATAATAATAATAATAATAATAATAATAATAGGCCTAATAATAATAATAAAGATCATGATCGTGATGACTAATAAAAAAAACGTTAAAAATTATAGTATATCCCATAATAATAATAATATTATCATTTTAATAATGCTATGATAATGTTATTGATAATAAGGATTATTATTGTTAAACTTTATTTATAAAGACATATTTTATAAGAACACCGAGGCTAAAATTGCCTGAAAATACAAATTGAGGCTCAGGTAAAATTTCAAATGCTGTTTTATTAAAAAGAAAAAATAGAAAATCAACAAAAATTCTTTTGGTCTTATCTGTATCTTATATGTATTAGGTGATTATGTAATACCCTTATAATATAGTACATACTGTTGTAAAATAATAATGTTCTATCTTTGAAAAATGTGTAATTTATAAGAACAAAATAAGAACATTTTGAGTCTAAAATTGACGAAAAAAGTAAAAACAATGTGCCTGGGAAAAACTTACTGGTTCTTATTTTAAAAAATTAAGGTGTAATATCATTTATATACAAACGAAGGCCATTTATTTTCATATGAAGCTCTTGTGAGACATGTCCGTCGAATAACTAATTTTGAGAGCTTCAGAATTCTGGACGGGTGAAAAAACTATTTTTCTGCCTTTAGATTAGATTGTGTTCTTGGTTATTGATACGACATCCCATGGTTCTGTTTCGTTTTCTTTTTGGTGATGTGAAGCTCATCGAGGCATTTTTTTTGTATATGCGCTCATTATCATAATCAGTATCATCATCATCATCCCCACCACCATCATCCTCATCATCATCCTCATCATCATCATCATCCTCATCCTCATCATCATCAGCAGCAGCAGCATCATCACCATCACCATCATCATCATTATTATTTTTTATATTATTAATCATTATTATTACTGTTAATATTATAATTATTATTGTTATTATGTCTATAACATAGCGATAAGCCATAGCAATGCATACATGCATTGTTTACTTCCCAGTGTCTAATAAAGCGTACAGTTTTATACGTGACTTTCTACTGTGAATCCCATAATGACCATTAGCAGATATTCATAGTGCGTTGTGAAAAGATGTTATTGACCAATGTTGAATTTTTTATCTTCTTGAATTGAACATGAATGCATTACCTTGAAAAAACATCTCCTTGAGCTGTGACGTCCGAAGCATGACATCAAACTACTAGTTTCTTTCTCTAATATATAACATATTTGGAGTAAGCCTAGACCTAAATAGTTTTAAGTCTACTTCATAGAATTTATAGTAGCCTATGTGTATGTGCACCCATAGTCTGTCTAAATAGTGCATCGTATGAATATTGTACAATGTTCCTTCCAAGAAAATATACTGTAATATCCAAGAGCCTGGTGACAAAAGATATTGTAGGCTATTGATCTATGAATAGAAATTAGAGTTCTAAGCATTATTGACTAGGACATGAGAGGGTATCTTTTAAGAAGAAAGTACTTCACCTACCTTAAGTTATGACCACCACAGCAAGCCATCGGAATTAAATTGATTTGTTCCATAAACAATTGTTTGTAATATATTATTATTGTTATTATACAAACACATCTTAGGTGGAAGAGGAGGAACGCAACGCAAATCAATAAGAATTAATTACCATATTTTTCCCGATAGGGGACTGTTTACCGGTCGTTCCTGTAGTAACAGTGCACGTGCACCTACTGCTATTTAATTGCTTTCGACATCGGTGGATGGAGCCCTGTTCTGGATACTTATACCGATAGCGCAAATGCTTTTTCGGAACTGTTTTAGTTTAACCGTAGTTTAATTCAAAATTTATTTACTGCTTGTTTTCTTTTTGTACAGCGCATTGAGGCTTTATGCGGAATGCGCTATAGAAGTATTAAACTATTATTATTATTATTATTATTATTATTATTATTATTATTATTATTATTATTATTATTATTATTATTATTTAAAATAGTGGCGATAATGTTTTATATAAGCCAGTTAATCATCTGAAATTATAGAATTTGTATTATTTATTTTATTTTACGTTGTTTTTGCCTTGTTTTTATGTATAGAATGAAATATGTTTCATATGGGCCTAGACTTTGTACATTACTATATTGGTTTACATTCTTCGTTTCTTTTTTTTTTAACTGTTTTTTTAAACGATCCACGCATCCTCCCGTGGAAATTGGCTATATTCTATAGGCTTATAAAATGCGAAAGACGCGCACAATCCATGTCTAAATATATATATATATATATTTGATGATGATAAATTTTACTATTTAAAAGTGTAATTTCCAGCCATCTAGAGGTACTATTTTCACAAATTTTCCCCAAACTATGGTAGGCCTGAGGTGGATGTGGCCTCAAGGATTTGAGTAGGTCTAGTAAATTAAATATATCAAAGAAAGTGTTTCTTTAGTTTTATTTTCTATGGTACATCACTCATATTATAGATCTATGTGGTTGCCAAAAACCTCTGATTAAAGACCACTATGAAACATTTTCTGGCGCTTCGCTTAGACTATATAATGGTGGTGTGATAATGATGAGTTTTACTATATAAAAGTGTCATTTTCGGCCATCTAAAGGTACTATTTCCTCAAATTTTCTCACCTCACCACCAACCATGGTTGGGCTGACGTGGTTGTGGACTCACGGCTTTGAAGCAAGTAAAGCAAATACAATGTTTTTAAGCATTATTTTTTTAGAAAAAAAAACTCTCGTATTTTGCGCAATATAAATGAAGAACCTTTAACCTTTAACATATTAATTAGATCTCTGTGGTTGCCGAAAATCTCTGATAAAAGATCACGAACATTTGTTGGAGCTTCACATTGATTATATAATGGTGATGTGATGATGATGATGAATTTTACTATATACAAGTGTCATCTACTGTTACTATTTCCTCATATTGTTGCGCTTCTACCCCAAACATGGTGGGTGTGAACTCATGAAATGTCGCCCACCTTCTAAAACAGATCTACGTCCTTGCACGCACGCCCTACCGCCAAATCGTGCATCCGCCCCAGGGTGGAGTAACGTGGTGATCTGATACTTATAATACATTAGTATGAAGCTATAGTTTGCAGAAATCAATTTGTACCACAACATTTTGTGTTTGCAATTTTGTAAAAGTATGCCTTAGGCCTATTCAATCGACCAAACTATCGATCATTCTCATGTTATTGAGAGCCAATAAAAAAACAAAAAAACAAACAAACAAAACAAACTGTAATCTAGTACGCAAGACTCCCCTTTAGAACACATTTTTTGTTTCTCAGGTATTGTGTAATATGCAATAGATATTATAAATCACATGTGTCATCGATACTATGTATATATTTTATTATATACCGCATACATATAGATACTAGGCATCTGATTGGTTAAAAAGCGGGTAATAACTCCAACCATCACTCCTTGACGTAGATTTGAATAATAATATAAATTCCCGGGAAAAAGTACTATCACACCTTTTTGCCCTGTCGCGATGTGATATCTTGGCCCCACTTCGTTGCTATGTAATTTATGATCCACGGACGGTAAGGGGACGCGACTTCACGACGCTGAGAGGGATTGGTCCTTTTATCGCCTAGGCCTAGTAATTAAGCCTAAGCTTATCATCTTACTTTGTAAGTACTCGTTTAATTACCGTTTTTATGCCTTGTAGAATGTATATAAAACAAATATTGACTGCTTTAGATTTTGAGAACGGTTGAATATAGCCCCTCAGTGATGTGTAGAATTTCCTAAAATTAGTAAAAATCATAACTAAGTTGAAGAACAATGAAGAATAAAATTACAGCCTTTTTTGGATAATCAAATGTCGATGCTTATGTTTCAGGAATTTAACATCAATAATACAATCACAATATTAAACATTGAGGGTACGTTTATTTGAGCAGTTTCATAAGAAATAAATACAAAACACCATATAGAAAACCAAACAAACCAAAACCCATGTAACAATAATAAATTACAAATATAAATTACCAGAAATTAAACAGTAGCCTAATTCAAGATGTGTGTGTGAGTGAATAAATTGCACAAATTATTGAATAGATTTAGCTAAATGAACAGCAGGTTTCCTGTGTGCGTAGTGATTTTTGTCACAGGAGTGGTATTTTCTGGAAGATTAGTTGCTGAACTAATGTGCAAGTTAATTTGAAACGAAATAGTTTGATTCTTACTATAGCTGTATGAAATAAGCAAATATTGTATACTGCCTAATGTATTAAATAATCTTACAAAGGAAACTCCGTATGAGGCATGTAATGCCGACGGCCTAATTTCCGGAATATCAAACTTTTAAGTTTGGGAAATGTAGGGACTGGCCTTGTGCTCATTGGTTAGTTATAAAACAACTAACCAATCAGTGCAAGGCCAATCCATAAATTTTTACTTACGTTTACGCTGTTCTTTCGAGGGACCTTGCAATAACCATGGGGCTGGGTTTAAAGGTCTCTTAATTACACAGGAACGTACTTAGAGAAAACGCTTCGTCACGCCGTGCCGTGATTCGCGCATCCGATGTTCTCCGCTGCGCTGCGCATCTTCGTCGTATCTTAAATCTCGCGCATGTGTGAACACCATTAAGTGATAAGCGTGGTTTCCATACAATTGCTACACAGCTGTCGGTGATGGTGATTGGTCGGTTGAATCTGGGAGCCTTCCTGGCGTCGGGAGACTGCTACGTTAGTGCAATGATTGCAGTAAAAACTGTAGCGATGATGTAGCGATTTTAAGAAAAGCATGCTTTAGGTGTACGTTCACATGCGTATTCAAAATGTTAGCTCAGCCTAGGTTATACCAAAGCTTACAGAATTCCATAGTGTCTTGAATATGCACGTATGTTAGAGCGACAAACAAAATTAATACTACGTATTATGGAGAGCGAATTTGTTACTACTGAATATACGAAACCTGGATATACACACATGTAATCTACTTTTTTTAATGTCATTTTATTGTACATAATATTAAAAATGATTAAACAAATAACCATAGTAATCACATTAATAATAGTATAACCAAGAACATGATCGAATTTTGCATTAATAACAAGGAAATTGACCACCAACAAAAATGATTTTAATGTGTTAGTCCGTCGTTTTTGATTTCCAATGTGTTTATGCTAGTCTACATGGTCAGTCAATCTGTCAGTCGATCAATCAATAGATAAATCGATCGGCCGACCGCTCAATCAATCAATCAATAGTATAACCAAGAACGTGATCGAATTTTGCATCAATAACAAGGAAATTGACCACCAAAAAAAATTATTTTAATGTGTTAGTTCGTCGTTACGTCATATTTGATTTCCAATGTTTTTATGCTAGTGCACATGATCAGTCAATCAGCAGGTCAGCCAAACTGTCAGTCGATAAATCAATAGATCATTCAATAGATAAATCAATCAATCAATTAATTAATCAATCAATCAATCAATCGCTAATTGGCAGACTGTTTCTGCACACAGTTTGCATATTTGTAAGCATTAAAATAAATACGTATTTTTGGTCTTCATATTTAATGGGGCGGACGACTGACTACTTATTAAATAGATGGATGGATAGATTGAAAGCAGCCTATTGCCTCGGTTTTTATATGTTTGCTTATTTTACATATAACGTAATGATAGACCTATAAACCTGTAAATGTATTAATTTCCAGTGTTCTGATCTGGTATATTTTCTGGTGAGCAGTATTGATTTAGATTTTATATTTTGAAATAAACCACTATTTATCTTAGGCATAATACTACTTTAATTTATTATTAGTTTAGTAAAGATTGGTTTAGCTGTTTATTTTTTCCATGCGTAGCGATGTCAAACTGTCAATTACAATTGTGCTCATTAAATTGACGATAAGTCATTCCGTAGTTTGAAAGGCGTAATAAACGTTATGTATACATTGTATGTTTGTTTTAAGTCGATTGACCTTGGTGTTGGCATGCGCAGTTGAGACTACGAAACTTTTTAAAGGTCACTTGGTGTAATTGACATGCGCTAAATAACTGTTTTTAGATAGGCCTACTTAATCTATTTTAGTATGTATCATGCCTACCGCAATGATTCTGGGTTGTCCTATTTGCTCATGTGTAATAAAAGCAATATGACATGAATTTATGCAATATACTAAAATACTATATGCTTATATAATCTTAGCTTAATAACAGTTAAACTGTATTAGGCCCTACTATAAATATAAATATTATATATACATGATAGGAAATTTTCTATCAATAACGACTGTTGTATTTTTATGTTAAAGCGAAGATATGATTGGTTGTCATCTCACAATGTTTGGTGTGTCGTAATCCATAATGCTGTGTACATCACCGCCCATGCGCATTGGAGCTTCAGTTGAACTCATTGCCAACCTACTGGCGCTAGAATTACGAACTTTGTTCTTATTCTTTTTAACTCTTTTGTATTGAAAACTACCCTCATCATAGAAATATTCAACGATCTGGAAAGCAGTGAGAACACTTGCGCCTGTGAACAATCCAAGATTACCACCAATGTTCGCTGAAAAAAAAATGAATACACTGTACACCATGATTTATGCAGAATGAAGTAACCGATGCTAAATAACATTATTATTGTGGATTATTGAGGGGAGTAAACTAATATTCAATTAAAACATTGATAAAATCCCTCTAGCGTCTATGGTATCGTATTGTATAAATGTAATGTAGTGAGATTTATAGAGCTAGGCCTACAATATAGCACTTTACTAGTAAGTCTCAAAGCGCTGGACTAGTTCGTATAGTAATTTCTCCCCCTCATCCCCACCCCTCCCCCAACCAAAGGGTCATTTCGTGTCTGAGCTACTCGGTAAATTGGTGCTAACTCTCGTCTGTGCAGAACACCGGGGAAACTCCCTATTCGATTCGATAGATGTACTATTGTGCTTGGTTTATGTACTTATCTACAAGAATTGTTCCGCCACCAGAACTGTTGGCGAACAAAATCACAGAATATTTTCTGTCTCTTATACACATCTAGATGTGTATAAGAGACAGATATAATATCTTACCCAACAAAACAACAAAACTAATTGCCGGAATCTGGTCAACCACCTCATAATTCAGAGCTTGGTAGAACACCGATAAAACTGCAACATTGTCTCTAAAAAAGAAGAGTCTGACGGTAATATAACACATAATAATAGAGGTCCCTAAATATCTGCATACCTTACCTCCTGTAATCATTGTTAATGTTGAAATGGAAAACATAAATAAAAGCATTGTGAATATGCTGATGACAGTTTTGCAAATAAAAGTTTACAATATCCATTAAACTAATTAAATCCATCAGTTTAACATACTATTAAAATCATAATTTACGATTTTGCAAAAATATTAAATCAATCAATTATCAATCAATCAACTTAACGACTTATTGAAATCGTAATTGTGTCTACATTTCAAAATAATGAGATGCAGAGAGTAAATAAAATTAATTGACTTACTCGATGTAATCTGTAGTGAAATTGTACGTGGTACCCCTGAAGAGACGTTCCATGAAGTCGGCTCGCAGCTTAGCACTGGTCGTACTAAATGGGAAATCTTCAACTTCACAAGGAGACCGACACTTGCATACATCATCCGGTAATTTACTCTCAGTCACTTGAACTAAAAAATTTAAAGCATAAAAAAATCTTTAAATTAAAAGTAGACCCAATTAAAACAAGTAAAATCATGTTCAAATAAACTTGTGGATATGGTAAATTAGCTATTTGCCATTTCCGGCCACCAGGGGGCGTTTTAAATGTGAGCGCCTTGCTACAAATTATTTTCATGTCCCTCATAGTTGTGTGCCAAAGTTGAATGCTTTTACTACAGAGTGCGAGCTTTTTCGACATAATCACTGCACTATACTGTTCTAGATGCGGATGATATACATAAGCATATCTTGACAAAGCCTATTCAACTCAGGAATATTATAGAATTAAAGGGGACTCCATATTTGGAGAGTTTATGGTTACGGTTGAGAAATCGGACAAAGTGGCAAATACATGGAGGAATGGAGGAATGCAGAATTAAAATACTATACCATATACCACTTGACGTATAGTTCGGGTAAAATCCTTGCTTGCATGGTAGTCATTTTTAAGAACCCATTTATATATTCTCAAGTTCGGAAAGTTCAATCGTTTATATGTGTGTATAATACTGTAATTGGAACTGTGTGACAAATAGATCGACTTAGTATTATGTGTATTTTAATAATTTTGTTATTGCAAGATAGGAATAATGAAGATGATGTGCGGATTGCGGATTTACTTAATTTTCCAAGAGAAACAGGATTTGGAATCGTTAATGGAAGACTTAATGATAAAAATTCAGCGACTTTCACCTTTTATAGGCATTCAAGGCAAAGGTGTACAATATTAGCAATTCCTAAAGATTTGATTCAAATCACAGAATATTTTACTCGATTAAATTGCTCAAACCGATGATTAATATACTATACTTGTGATTTCATAAATATTATTGGGCATGACAATGTTTCTTTTGAAAAAAAAACTAGTATTAAGAACAGGGGATGTATTATCATTTACACTTCGGCGACCTATTTATAAAAACAATTTTTTTTTCAGATTTAGCTAAGTCAAAGTTTACATCTCTCTTGAATTCATTTAAGTATGACATTATTTTAAAAATTAAGAGCAATAATATACTAGTAAAGAACAGGAGAAAGAAATGTGGGAAAAATACATGGTCCTATTTAGCAACTTAAAAGGAAGGATAATTGTAAAATTTTATTTTAAGAAAATGGAAACAGAGACACAAAGATGGAAAGATGTAATTTAGTTAATTTTTCCTTTAATTTTTTTTTTATATTGTAAGAAACTATAAACAAACAAGGAGAAATAACAACAAAAGGAGAGAAAGAATGATCGTGGAATACATAAATATAATTCCGATAGCAAAGGTACTGTAGTTAAGGTTTTAGAAAATGAAAAAAGAGGAGGAAAACAAAAATAAATAGTATGTATATGTGTATTGTAAGTATATATATATATATATATATATATATATTATATATATATTATATATATATGTATATATATAGTGCATTCTAAAGTGATGAAAATTACGGGAAATGTGCAATTTTCTCATATAAAAACTCTACTTATGAAATGTAATTTTTTTTAAATTTTTATATTGTAATGAATTATATATACATAATTGTTGTTAATTGTGAACATTTGTGTAAATGCTGGTACAGTATATTTAGGAGGACAAAAATATAAATTGAACTTTAATAAATGGAATATATTCTGACAATACTTAAATGATCGTAGCAAAAAAAAAAAAAAAAAAGCTCTGAAAAAAAGTTTAATTATTTAATGCTTTTACAATCAGATGTAAATGATATTAAGGACATTACAATTATCATCACTTGGTAATTCTATCAGTTAGTGTTACCTTCTTTTAATAGTCTGCACGAGCAGTTAGTGGGATGAGGAACACTTTACACGCAGGCGAATTGCAGCAAAAAGTGCATTGCCTACGATAAGTACGGTACGGCCTGATCGCATGATTGATGACACGCCAAAAAACTGATAAAAGTGGCGGATTCAAGGTTCTGAGTGTGCAATTTCTGGCCATCTAGAGGTGCCATCAATACCGTAGCTAGGATTTTCAATAAGTATGGGACAATATCAGGGTGACCCATTAGTTAAAAGTTGGCACATTTTATGCAAAGATGAATAATGTGGACACATTTTCTTAAAAATTTACCAATTTTACGCAAAATATGAGAAATCTAGATCAAAATGTGGACCCATTCTTTGTGGACACAATAAAAAAATGTTGTGGGACTGTCCCAACTGGCATTGGGTGCCATAATCATAAATTATCCTACCTCAGCCCCAACCATGGTGGGGTTGAGGTATACATCTCAATCTACATCTCAATTTCCTCCCTTGGCCTCCCCTCTACCACCGGATAGGTAGACAACTTACGGAGAATAGATTCAGCACATACATGGGTTTGATTAGGGTTACAAACCGGGACGCCATCAATAGACGGTTGCTCAACAAGACGACAGTTGCAATATTTTTCAACGGCTTTTGTCTCGCATTCGATACGGCATCCTTGGAGAGAGTAGTTCCTGTAAAAACCCGCCGTATCTTCCGTCTGGCATTCCGTGTACGGATGGGGTAAAGTCGATATCTACAATAACAAATATATTATAATGTTGTTAAATCAATACCGTACTATAGTATTTGGAGGTTAATGACTGTTTCGGCATATTTTACTCACCGAAAAAAACCCCGTATATTTACTTCCAACATACACTTAATATGTTATTATCAAATAGGCCTACATTGGATATCAACCAATCCGTTTAATTTGATAATAGTTGCACAAAATAATAGAGTAGGTCCAGTTAATATAGTCCAGACACATTGTGTACCTTTTAAGCGATTATTTCAGTGGGAAAAAACTAAGAGTCGTAAATTTATCTTATTTTATTTGCAAAATACAGTATTCAGGATAAATTTAATGTACAACATACAAAACATATTGAAGTGAAATAACTTGTCTTTCAATAAGGTACTGACTATTTACAAGCATTGGGTTAATATATACAACTTGAGGAAAGAAACAAAGAGATGAAAATGCAGATGATGTACAGGTACCTGAATGTCGAAGATAACGGCTTCAGGTAAATTAGCGTTATAATTAATTTTAATTTTATTTCGTCTTAAATATTTGTAGTGACACGAGCAAACTTGAGTTCAACTGACAGAAAAAATTATCAGTTATTTATTAGTTACCGGTACTATTCTATACGTGGGCACAACTGACCTGTGAATGACGCATAGCAACGTATGTATGTTGGTTAACTGACGCCACAAAACCAAGTTCCTTGACGTATGGTGGTTCTGTTGGTGGATGGAGCATGATCTTCACACCAACGTCCATGGCGTCTCCACCTAGCAGATCATTGGTTGGTGTGTAGTCTTCAACTTCCACGTTCAAGATCAATCGTAATCCATTGCCTGAAAATCAATCAATCAGTTGTATAATTATAATCCTCAGTTCCAAGAGTTTTTTTTTTAAATATACATAAATTATGGTTTTAATCTAGAAAAAATAATATAATATAACACCATAGTAGCTGAAATTACGTAATTCTGTACGTGTTTGTTCGTGTTTGTTCGGGTTTGTCATCGTGCATACCGACATAAACATTAAGTAGTAAATCAAACATTTTCCGTGAAGGTCATTTTGTAAACGACCGAGTAACAGTTACCAGTGTCACAAGGATTTCGGCTTCTCTAAAATTTGGAATACCTAAATCCCTTATAATGAATTCGAACCCTGGCATAAACTCACTCCAAAACCACTATTTGGTCTTTCGGGGGTCCGAATCGATAACGAGAAAATTAGTCGCATTAAATTATTTATGTTAGCCTAGATCAGTTTTTTTTTGTGCGCTATCTCTATTAACCTAATCGGTAAGCAGCTTTCCGGAGCTAGACCGATTTTTTTTTGTGTCTGTAGGGTACGTTAAATGTATATTTATAGTTTCAACCGTATTTTCCTCCGAGACAAAGCACACTCCACACCTCACCTCTTAACATAACACAACTGGCCTATATAAAATGCAGACGTTCTGCTTCCAAATTCGCTAAACAAAATTCATAATAAGAAGCGCTTAGTTAGAAGCGAATTTGCATGAAGACCTATATCACATTCTAAAGCCCTGTCTTGACTATTATATATTACTTGATGTAAAAACATGTGACATGCCTAAATATGGTCATAATAACATCTTATCATGACCATAGAAATAATTCACATCATGACTATATATGGTCATACAACAGTTTTTTTCAAATAACATTTAATGATCTGGACAGGGCTTATCGTATTATTGCTATATACATAGGCCTGTTGACCGATATACTTACTTGAGCCAGCCATATAGGATACCTTTCTATCTGTATCTTTTGAGTAGGAATTAAATGTGTAACAATTTCCCAAGTGAGTAAAGACATGCACCAAGTCATCTTCCTTACATTCTTCCTCTCTCCACATACACTGTAAAAACAATAAAACGTTATTATGTTTATTAGTCTGATATTATATATATATATACATATATTATAATAGCGTCTGGTGCTTGGATTATCGTTTGTATCCGAATAATGTTCTATCACAAGGTAACCACTATAACCACTGCTAGACTATATATTGGCTCCCTCTATCCTTCGTCGCCTGTGCCCTTATTCATATCCTGTCTCTTATACACATCTAGATGTGTATAAGAGACAGATATATCACGGAGTATCTAGGTGTCTTGGGAGGTGGTCGTGGAAACGAAGGTGATATGGGGAGAAGAAACGGATATGGTATGGGGAATTCTATGATTAAATGAGAGGGCGCTAGCTGGCAAAATTAAGTGATTATGTGGTGATTGTAACTATTTAGGCGTAATAGTTTTGCTTCGAAAGTTCCAGGCGCGATTGGTGGGGTGTGAGCCCCGTGCACCCCGTAATAAGCCACCCGAACACACAGGAGTGGTGAGAGCATGAGAGTACGACATCAGTAAAAATCACAGTGGTCATGAGCAAAGTGTATCAGACTTGGTAACACCATCAATACAACTTTTTATCATTTCTTTGAATTCCTACCTGGACAATAAAACTATCTTTCTGATAACCTGTTCTATAAACAAAATCAGTCATGTTGTATTCTGGATCTACGGGGATAGCTGTCCAGTTGATCGCTTTGACTTTAGCAGCGAACTCATCGGTGTAGAGACCCGGTGTAATCAGGTTATGGTCTTCGTCAAGGATTCCTTCAAGTAAATAAAACGCTAATATTAAACATGTAATCAACGTCTAACTGAATGAGATACTAACTTCAGCAACAAAAACAATAAGGATGATAATAATAATAATAATAATAATAATAATAATAATAATAATAATAATCTTAGTAATAATAAATTATTAATTATAATTTTAACATAATTAGAAGAATTAAAAAATATTATTGTAAATAATAATAATATAACTAGGATAAAAGTAAACCAAATTATAGGGTTTTCTCATTCGCATATAATGAGATCCGAGGTTTGAATAAAATCTGTACAGAATGTTGAAGGTGACGTCACGTGGCACCCGATGACGTCTATACATCATAACGTAAAATTTCGGATGTAAATCACAATTTTTAAGTTTAGCACGAAGAATGTTAAATAATTGTAATTTAAAAAAAATGAAAATTTTGATGGCACCAAGACTAGAGCTCTGGTCAGAAGCTATTGGTCACTTGCTATTACCATATTATCACTACTTTCAACCAATAAATCAATTAATTCATTAATCAATCAATCAATCAATCAATCCCGTAGTAAAATATTTTATAGAATTCAATAGAAAGCCTATAGAGGTTTAGGAGTTTTTATAGAATTCTATAGAAAATGTATGCAAGAATAATTTCTCTATATAAAACCTATCCATTCTCTATAGAGATAGTTCTATAGAAATATAATTCTATAGAAAATTGATCCAAGATTTTTTTTCTCTATATAAGACCTATCTATTCTCTATAGATAGTTCTATAGAAATATAATTATATAGAGAATTCTAAACAATTTATCCAAAATCGTTCAAAATTAAATAGAAAATAAAACGAGAATTCTATAGGATTTTTCTAAAAGAAAAATATAAAATTCTATAGACACTATATTTTAAAAATCTAAAGAGAAAATATGTAATTAAATCTAGAAATTGTATAGAATTTAAATATAATTCTTTCTATAACATAATTTTCTAAGCAATCTCTAAATCTAAAGAGAAAATATATAATTAAATCTAGAAATTGTATAGAATTTAAATAGAATTCTTTCTATAACACCATTTTCTAAGCAATCTCTATATAAATATATTATCTCTATAGAGAATGGATGGGTCTTATATAGAGAAAAAAAAATCTTGGATCAATTTTCTATAGAATTATATTTCTATAGAACTATCTCTATAGAAAATGGATAGGTTTTATTAGAGAAATTATTCTTGGATAAATTTTCTATAGAATTCTATAAAAACTAGAATAGTTAAAAAAAAAAAATAGAATTATATTTCTATAGAACTATCTCTATAGAAAATGGATAGGTTTTATTAGAGAAATTATTCTTGGATAAATTTTCTATAGAATTCTATAAAAACTCTTAAACCTCTATAGGATTTCTATAGAATTCTATAAAGTATTTTACTACGGGTATTATTAATAATCAAATTATTCTTACCAAGATAGAAGCCCACATTGACGATATCCTCGTCTGTAAATGCTGATTCTCTGTATTTGTTGAAATTACAGACAGTAACAGCTGGAAAATCCACTGATTGTTTATACACTATATCCACTTTGGTAACATGAAGGTACTGGAAAAAGCTTATTAAAAGCAAAACTGTTTCGTAAATTACAATCACCCATGCTGCTATGGTTACAATTATCCAAATTAACTTTCTGACGATCCCACCGTCACCAAATACCCCGGGGAGCCCATGCAAGTCCGTCTTTTCCGTCGAATAAATCGGTAGATAAAAACTATTTCGATCACAACCCATGTTTTGAAACAGAATTATTAACTGTTGTTATAATAGCGTCTGGTGCTTGGATTATCGTTTGTATCCGAATAATGTTCTATCACAAGGTAACCACTATAACCACTGCTAGACTATATATTGGCTCCCTCTATCCTTCGTCGCCTGTGCCCTTATTCATATCTGAAACAAAAACCGCCATATGTCAGTGATATTGTAAAAACAAAATTGAATATACAATATGACGCTTTATGAAGCTGGATATAAAATAAACTAATAATTTAAAGTATAATTAATAAAATAGCCGTATACAGGCTTGTAATCACAGACTTTCGTATCGCGATCGGTGTATAAAATAGTGTAGGCATACCGTATATTTATCAATCATTTACCTTTTACAAGCGAATAAAGCAAGCATAGCCTATAGTTAGAACACACGAAACTGCCAATATTTTCAATGGCTACGGTATTTGGCCAAGTGGCTTCGGTTAAAAAAGAGTCTTGATTGACACATGTAAAAATGGTTCCACTGCTGTAAAAATGGCCCTTAAAATTGACCCAGCAAAAGGGTCCAATGGACAAGCCTAGGTAACAATTGCACTGATAGGTTTATATTAAGTCTTTCATCAGCATTTGGCACATAAAATCCATCTCCAACGACGTTCCGATCATCATGAACTACCGGTATCAAATTCTGCATTAAATTGGTTTGAGCTCTTACTTAGGCCTACTTAGGTCGTACCTACTGTTTTGTAATTAACAAAGTCATATCTGCTCCCAAATCTGGAATCCTACAAAGATCTATCTTAATCTCTTCTCCTTTTTTAAAAATTATAATGTACAGTATATCAGTATATCCACTCAGTGACATTCAAGATACCGTTACAGCTTAATGGTAAAGATTTATCTTCTTCAATATCCGATAACATAATCCAGCATGCTTGAAAAGTGTCTTTAAAAACGTTCTGCCTATCCATACTAATATGCTGATGTTTAATAATACTTAAAACGGTATTGATAATCTTTTGGACCAAGCACATCCAGTGGCGGCGCCAGCGGGGTGGCAAGGGGGGGCTTAAGCCCCCACCGGACAGGTCAAGCCCCCCCCCCGCCGGAAAGAGCTCGTCGGGCATTCAGACCATAAAACATATAAAAATAGGCCCAAACCAAGCCAACACATGTCTGTCACAGTCTGAGAGTGCCATTTTCGGCCATCTATAGGTTGATATTCTTTAAAATAAATCTCATTTGGGAGGGGGAACCCCCTCTAAACCCCTTCACCCAGCTCGAGCCTATGAGCTCAAGTCCCCCCTGTCGGACAACTTAGCCCCCCCCCCCAGAAAATATATCCTAGAGTCTCCACTGAGCACACCCGCTCTCTGAAATTAACTTCCTCACCTTGTTTTGTCTTTCAATTACTGCACTATATCTAGTACCTTCTGTTAGAAATCTTTTTCTTTGAGTACACTCTTTCTTAAATAAGCATAATACGACGTGACACAAACTATTAAATTTTATCTACGCCCCATATTGTTCACATCGGGAAATATCTCTCTAAGCACACCAATGCAGCAATAATTCAAGCATTTGTCACTTTTTCCCTCGACTATGCAACTAAATTTACTCCACTTATAAAATTCATGACATTCAGACTGCAACATCTTCAGAAATCTGCAGCACGAAAATTACGTACTAACAGAGACGTTCGCAATATCACCAATTATTCATGTAATTGCGATGGCTTACCTCGACTCCAATATAACTATAAAAATCCCTTTTAACATTTAAAGCACTTAAACTCAAACAACCCAAGAAAATCAATCTCTAATTTGCCTTTGTTGGTCAGACAATATTTTGCTAGTTGTTCACTCGCCAACCTATTGCCAAAAGAGCAGTTTTTCGGATGCACTCTTGTGGAATTCCTTACCTAAACTCACAATAGTTCACCATCTGTTGCTTTTTTAAAGACTGAACTTAAAACAGACATGTTTTTTAAATCACTATATGGTCATGATTTTCAATAACTTTATCATTATCACTATCATTATCAATATCATTATCTTTATCATCATTATGATCGTCATTGCGATATTCTTCTTCATCATCGTTATCATCATCAATAAAATCACCCTCATTATTATCATCTTTGTCATTATCATTATTTTTGTGATTGTTGACAGTACTTATTATTTTTATCTTACTTTCTGGAAATCAGCATAGTACTTTCTGTCCGCGAATCACGCAACCTTTCAAAAATCCACAAAATCCGAAAATAGGCCTACCTTACTCCTAAATCTGGAAAAATCCTTGTTATCTTTACCTCTACAAACTTCGACTATTGCAATTCTCTTCTTATGGGTTGCCTTCTTTCCTAGCACGTTTGCATCAAATAAAAAATAATGCTGCCCGAATGTGCTATAACACGAGACACCACTATATTAGCCCTGTATATTTAAAACACTCCCTTTAGCTACCTCTCGGCAACGAATCTTCTTTAAGATTAATGATAATACGTTTCTTTAGTTAGTAAACCAATATATCCTCACTGTAACAGTTTCGTCTTGCTATCAGCTCAACTTATTCAAATACGAGATGATAGATGGTTCGTGGAACCACGGAATGTCGGCGGCAAAACCAAGAATCGATCATCGCATGTAGAAGTCAAACTGATAGCAAAACGAACTGTTATACGCATTCAGTATATATTTGTTTAAACTGAATAAACTATTGGGCTTATTATTTTTTGCAAAGAAAATGATATTGTTTACACATTCTTTAGGATTTTCAAAACACGTTCATTTCTCCTGGTCATTATCTCTTGTGGACGTGTCCATCGCTATATTACATCTTGTTGTCTCCCCTGCAAATAAATCACTGTTTGGCATTCGAAAGTTTCACTGCACAGCTTGTGTTTTTCTGCCTCTTCGACTACTTAACATCACTTTGATAATAATAATAATAATAATAATAATAATAATAATAATGATAATGATAAGTGATATTGATTGATAATGATGATGATTATAATGATTATGGCATTGCTTGATAGTGATAGTAATAATGATGATGATTATGCTGATTATGATAACAACAACAACAACAACAATAATAATAATAATAATAATAATAATAATAACACCTGCTGTCAATCAAATGATGATAATGCCTTATTACTCTTGATTATTATTATTAATGTCACTTGGCCTATGTGCATTAATGTTACCTGTATCACGTGTAATACATTCAAATACATTTACTCGGTTGCACGTTCACGTGATCAGAATGACGTTCACAGTTAAAATCGTCTTGAACCGATCTAGAAAGTAAACATCGTTACGTTCCATTGCGTCCTTCATCAGCACTGATTACTGGAAATGTCTAACATAACGTCTAAATTTTCGCAGAATAATCTTACACTTATCCTCACAGATAATTACATGACTTACTTGATAATAAATAATTATTATTTTATTAGTATTATTAATACACTCCATAGTTTATAAGCAATTGTTTTCATTCATACAAAATTAATTTTCAGTTTAGGTCTATAAATATGTTGTATCATTTTTCAATTTTTAAAAATCAATGCACGTTGAAGCCGTAAAAGTTTCTCTAGCTTGCGGCCACGTAACTGCGACACGATGGAAATGACGATTAATACATTTAGTGTCGTCACTACCGCTTTAATATGTAGGCCTACGAGTTAATAGCCATTATATTTTGTTCATTCTAATCTATCAACATTTAGTTGAAGGCATAAAGATGTATGCTACAAGAAAGTGTAGTATTTACTCCGATACCTGCGACCGCCAAAATGTAAATACGCACATGTTGAGAAACCGCGATTTCAGAAAACGGTACTGTGACGTCGGATAATAATGATGGTGAGGAGAATGATGATGGTGACATTGATGTTGATGATGGTGTTGGTGATAATGAGAAAATGATAATAATAATAACAAAAGATGATAAAGATAGTAAAAAGGATATCAATGATGAGGATGACGAATAAAATAAGAAAATAACAATAACAATGATAATGAAAATGGCAATGATAGAGAATAATAATAATAATAATAATAATAATGATGATGATAATAATAATAATAATAATAATAATAATAATTATAATAATTATAATAATAATAATAATATTAATAATAATAACAAATATTAATAAAATAATAATAATAATTATAAATAATAATAATAATAATAATAATAATAATAATAATAATAATAATAATATTAATAATAAAAATAAGAAGTAAAGTATTCATAAATGTTATATTAACAACAATCACAGACTTTTCTGGTAACTACACGTGCGTTATAAAACTATATTATTTTAGAGAATCTAAAGGAAGTAAAGTGTTTATAGAGTCAGCTTTATTCACACACAAGAGGCAGAGAAATAACGTGAGCGTTGGCCTTGGTCTTTGTTCAAAATCTTAATAATTGCAATCAGGGATTCAATTGCAGAGCGGATGAACGAGAAGAATTACAGCGAGACCGTGCTTTAAAGTTTTAACTGAGAATCATATTTGGCCTGAGAGATTCAGGTAGACAATAATTTAGCACCAAGATGGTTAGAGTTTCAAACATTGCAAATACAGACGAGCCTATCCCTCTAAAGATAACCAATTAATTTACAGACCTACTCCAGGAACTGTTGTAAAAATTTAAATACGATCAAATGCAATATTATAATACCGTATATTTATTAGAAATAGACCATTGAGTGTGCCTAGACTGCAAGCTAAATTTATTGAAACTACTCTTTACGTTCCCCACAGACACAGGAACTAGGTCCAGGGTTGACAATGCAGACTAGGCCTGATATGTGCATAGGAAATTTATGTTTGCATCTAGGTCTATGTAGTAAAAATACCAGCAAATATGTCAATAGAACATTCATGTATAAACAAAACTCATTTTCTCGTGTAATTTATGATTTGCAAAGAATTAGAAATTCCTCACGTTTCGACCGGCATTTGCTCATTGTTTACAATTTTCCTTCGAGGAGTTTTAACATGTGACTTATTAATTTACGAAGCAATCCAGAGGCGGATTCAGGATTTTTTAATGGGGCAACTGTTTTATCAAACTTGAAGAATATTAGGAGGTGTCTTAGACATAAGATAAACAATGGGATTCATGCGCCCTCCAGGAAATTATTTGTTATATATTTTTATTTATTCACTCATTCTGGTATATTATTAAAACGATAAAGTTTGACATTGTAGAAAACTATACAATTAAAATTTACAACAAAATAATATTTAATAAATATATACATATATATACATATACCTATATATATATATTTAAATATATAGGCCTCTATATAGATATAGCTTATATATATACATATATATATATATATATATGCCTATATATATATAATGTAAAGCAATGGAAAAACGGTGTACAATCATTTAAAATTAAAGTGAGAAAAAATAAGTTTTCTCACTTTAACGTTGATAAAGATAGCAAGAGCTATCGAAATATCCGTTTGATTTTGTTATAGCTTAATAAATTTGTGTTCCGCAAGTCAACTTTCAATGATTGTACACCGTTTTTTCATTGCTTTTACATTTTATTTCATACATGCAAACCCACTCTTCAATATATATATATATATATATATAAAATAACACTGCAGTTGTTAACATAAACGCCGGACACTTTGACATAATTTGAGACATGTACATTTATTTAACGAAATTTTCGGCAGCACCTGCTGCCTTCGTCAGCGTAAGAG